GGAAGCACCCTTGAATCTAATTTTAAAAGCTACCGTGTAAAACCAATTAGGGTAGGATCCACTGGGCGAATCGCTTTTGAAGGCCTCTCCTGCAACGAGCAACAAGGATGAAATGGCTTTACAGATTTACAGCCTAATAAAAGGAAGGAAAAGTTCGAAAAATACGAAGAAACTGTCTATTACCTTTTTTCAATCAAGGCAAGACTTGAGATTTTAGTTACGTCATATTATTGTGCGATATTTTTTTTTTTATTTCTAGGTTGTATTCTCAGCACACACCCTGTCACACCTGCTTTATTACAACTCCACTAAAAGATTAGCTGCCAATTTAACCACTTTAGTATCTGATCCTGCTCAAAGAAAATACGATTATTTGAACACTACTATAAGTCAACACCAGCATTTTAATAAATGGAATTGTAATGCAGCAATGAAATCATGGGAAGCTATCAAGAAAAAGGTGATCGAGTCCTCTGTATTAAATTGAGCATATTTTATTTTGAGAAAAATCTGTGGTTTTGTTAAACTCAACACCACCACACACACACAAAACCCCTGTTGCCCTTTTAAGTAATCCTGTGGGACAAATTTAGTTTTTACTGTAAAGCCTAGTAAATGAAGTGTGCATAATGATTTTGTTAAATCTTAAATTGCTCTTTTAATTAATTGGCAATTTCCTCAGCATACTCTACTGTCTACTGAAGTGACACTATTGAGTAACCCAAATGCTTTTCACACTACAGAAAAAAAAGAAAAGAAGAAAAGAGAAATAGATATAAGACAACAACCCTCCGTGGGAAGTAGGGGGGAAAAAAAAAAAAATCACTGGTTGTAACAGGACCGCGGAGAGGCTAAGAGACTCTCAGCGCTTCATAAATAGATTTTAATATAAAAAAGCTGACATGTGGCAATACAGTTTCTACATTGTAACATCATGACTTGTTCTCTCTTGACTTTCACAGTTCCTGGAGAAGCATGTTACAGGGATTAAATCCCTTTGAATGTTAATGTGTTCCTCTTTTGAACCACAAAGAATATTAATCCTCCTACCCTCATCTACCAACAGCTGCACTGTTTTTTCCTACTTGACAGAGTGGAACCAGATAGCGTGGCATGATTGACCTGAATGTAAATATTGCTATTTGTTTTTTAACTGCTTGCTTTTTGCAGAAATTTAACAAACTTGGCATCAGCTTATCTGCAGCACAAATAAGAATAAGTGTTTGGCCACCTAGAAACCTCTTTCTAAACAACTCTATCAGAAGAACCTTATTAATAAATTAACACACTTTACAATCCCCTCAAACATTTACAATGACTAGTACAGGAAGTCAGACTAGAATGTTCCCAGAGAAAGGGCACGTATGTATGTACACAAATACACATGCATATATAAATATATACATCTACATATATTGTGGAAAAGTGAAGGTTAAAGCAAACAGCTACCGTTCAGTTCAGGCATGATTCCAGCATATATGTCTACAGCCATACATAAAATCTTTACAAATTAATCTCAACCCTACGCATAACTCTCATTCAACTACTTCACACAGTTTGCAAAAGGACTCTAATTTCAAGAAAAGCTAGATAACAAAAGATAAGAACATGCAGGCTGACCATAAACCAAATCCACTAAATTTCCATTATCAAAATAAATATAATACACATCTGAAGACTCCCAAGTCAGATCAACTGCCCGAGTGCTTTTCCTTCAGATTTAACCGTACAACTGAATGATAAGCCAATACAAAACCTAGTCTCGATATATAATCCTTTGGAGACCCAAACTTCAAAGCCAGGAAACAAATCCCATTGTATTTACCATTCTGAATTTTCACAGACATTTTACAATCATTTTCATATTTTGGTCATCTCTATTCGTTGAATTACTCACAAATATCAACAGTGCAGAAGCAGATTATATATAAATTAATAACAAACTAGCATAGTTTATGTTCAGAAAAGAGATTATGTTGATTAATTAATGAAAGTTTCCAATCCATTAAAAAAATATCCTCAAAAGACGATCATCTTTCTGACACTGTACTACAATACTGAAGCCTTTGGCATAAATTATTATTTACAATTAATACATACTGTGCTGATGCACTTTACAAAAATCATGGTACTAGTGAGAACGTCATGCTTCATTTATTTCTGTAGTTCAAAAGCAGTTAGATAGTATACAAGGCCAAACTAATAAGACAGAAAAGAGCAAGTATTTCCATATAAACTACAAATGTTAGTATCATATGACCTGCCCAAGGAACTTAACATGACAACTGCAGTGCACTTTTAGTATAAAGAAATTTAAAGTCTCCTATCTCATATTTATGATATGAGCTGTAACTAAGGACTAAGAGTTATTAACATACTTTAAAAATAATCACAAAGCTATTTTAAATGGGAATATGACTGCACTTAGGATTCAATTTATTTAAAAATGTATTTATGCATACGTATTCTTTTCAGTTCACCTTGGATACTTTTAATAAAGATAAAACTCTTGATTACCTTGCACCTTCTACTGAGATACCCTTACACCCAAGAACATAAGGGTAACAGTCTGCTACATGCATGGAGGCTGTTACACCAGGTAATTCAAAGCAGCTGGAATATGCAGTGGTGGATTTATAATCTGAGAGAGAAATCTGCATGAAGATGGTTATGTAGCATTTGCTATGTCGCACCTTGCTAGCTGGCTGTCCATAAAATACCAAGCACATCCTACACGAAGTAAGACAATTATGGAAACAGAGATGTGGTAAGAAAAGTGTAATATGGGGAAAGAAAAGCATGCAAGCATGAAAGACATGAAAGATGATAACCTTTTGATTCTAAAACAATTCAGAAGTGTTTAAATAACATGCCTGGATAGAATAGAGATTTTCAGATGATATGAAAGGTTAAGTCAGAAATTTTAGCATCTAGTTCTGCTGCAATAAACAACTTTAGTACTGAAAGCATATTTAGTGCTCTACGGTTTACAAAGATGAACGACATCCTAAGCCCTTGCTTTCTAGCAATTAAAATACGTCAACTAGAAAAGAATGGTAAGTTTGAGAAACAATGCTGGTGGGATCATATGGAAGGTCTTTGTTGAAAGAGTCCAGAGTAAGGAAAATTGAACTAGACTTCATTCTAGCTCCGTGTGTCTGAGAATACTGCATCTGGTCTCTAACACTAATCATACGTTCTCTAGTCTGGTAAATTGGACTTAGAAGTGAATACAGATGAAATCAATATCCACCTTACTGCATTTCAGACAAGCCTGGCAGCTCAGAAACGATGTTAAGACAAATAACTGTCTAAGCACTGCACAGAAGTTAAAAATCATGTTGTTTATTTAGCTATTCTTCATCCAGAAGCACAGATAGACTTTGATGTACTCTCAGTTCAAGGAAAGAGGAGGTGGAAAGGTGAGAAGAGGAAGAAAAGTGTTTCACGTAGCTTAACACTGACCCATTCAAGGAGTCAAGGAGCAGCTTGGAACAGCTCCACAAGCTAAAGCAGCTCCCTTCCCAGTTTTGCTTGGCCAGATGGAAGATGACCACGTTTCAGGATTTCAAGCATGTACTATACTGGGGAGGCTGGGGGGCGATGGGGTGCAGGGAGTTGGGAGGGAAAAAAAAAAAAAGGACTTTAAACAAAACGGGGAAATAGAATAAAATGGAAGAACTCTCAGTATGTGATTTATGTAATAGCACCTCCTGCCCTTCACCTTCACTCCCAACTTATGTAGAGCCTCTATATAGACAAATATAATTATTTCATCTCCTTATAAATATTAATTCAATAAATGAACTATGTTGTTTTTTTCAGATTAAATCCTGTTTCTTTGTATCAGTGATTCTGTTTATTATCTCTTAATCTAATGAATTTTTCACTATTTCATCTTATATTTACTTATATTTCATCTTATTTATCTGTTAATCTTGAAAATTCAGTATTACTTATTCATATTACAATGCTAATGAGATTACACACTTTTAATTGACACTATGAGAAATGGTGTGACCCAGTACATCTTATTACTCAAAATATGCTATTATTAATTGCTTTCTAGTAGTTAAGGCTTATGCCATTATATAAATTAGTATGACAGAAATGTAATAGACACTTTCTTTACATTTAGGTGACAGAATCCTACACTGTCTTTGTTGAAGGTCTCAGGTTCAGTCATCCTTTATAGTCCTTGCTGCCACAGATCAGGAACAGATCTTTTTAAAAATAAATACTAACAGTTTTAGATTAATATGTACTGTAAAAAGGGTTCTAAAACTCAGAGAACTACAGAGCAATAAAGGGGCACTGGAGGACAAGAATGCAATGGTTAGAACACTAGTAAAGAAAATTTGTCTTGCTCTTTACTAATCAGGGTCACCAACAGAAGCTGTAATACAATAAAATAGCATACACTGTTGATAAGAAACATGGCTTTATCCTCAAGGGAATTTCTTTTGCAGCAGTCCTCTGAGTTTAATCTTACTGCTGCAGCATCTCTTATTCTTTCTATTAGCTCAGAACCAGGGTAGAGCTTAATAAGCTATCAGTGGAAAGAATTAAAAGTAGACCGTAAACTGAAATCATGCACTAATAAAAGGAACACTGAAATGCGTGACTTGACTTTTTCACACTTTACAGTATTGTCAGATTTTAAGTCATACCATCTGTTTAGCGAAATAATGCTCAATGAAATACCAGTGGTAAGCAGGAAGTCAGAGGCAATTTACAACTCATATAAGGTTTCCTTCCAGGCAGAGAAGAAAGGAATAGCAGAAGAGCATAAGTATATGTTGAGAAGATTTTTAAGCCTATACCCTTTTTAGTTCTATAAGGGCTATACAGGCTAAAAAATTCCCTTCCTAGCCCTACTCGTCCTAGATTTCCTTTCTGCTACCAACTTACTTGCTTAGTTTTGATTCAGAAATTCAGACAACTGTTTCCTCAGGTATAATATTGGAAAATATCTACTAAAGGAGAAAATTTCCACTTACCTGATGAAGATCGTTGCCCAAGACATATTCCTGAAAGTAACCTGGTGCAGCAGACGATGCTCTAATGGCCTGCCACAGTTTATACTGACAGCCTCCAATATAATGAGACTTAACACCAGGGAAGTGATTGTAGTTTCTAAAAACAAATGCTTTCAGTGGTGTTCCTCTGTTTACAATGGTGCTCACTGCAGCTACCTGGTGAGTTAGGAGGAACAAAAACAGTTATATATGATAATAATAATATTAATACAATATTTACAACTTCCCACAACACAAAATTCAATTTATATATTAAATGCATCTCTGAAATCCTATCTGGTTCACTATTTATTTACTTCTTTATAATGCCTATCTAAATTTTAAAAAGTGAAAGACAAAAAAGAAAGAAAACAAAACAAAAAACAAACTCCCTAAAGAAAATGTTATTGTTAACCTGAAATTAAATGTTTCCACTGGCTATTCTGTTTCTACCAGTATCTATCCATCAATATTTAAACTAAAAGCTGGTGTCATCCATATGACTTTAAAATGTTTTGTCTTTATGAATACTAGTTTGTTCTCAAAAGTCTGTAACCAGCAACGCAACAAAGCCATTAAATACAAATGGTAGAAACGTCAACCAAATGCTTTCTCCAAGAAAACGATTACTTAATATTGCAACCTGAGTTAAAGGACTGCAGGAAGAATCTCTCCCAAAGAAAAAAAAACAAAAAACAAAAGAATCAAACATTAATCTTTCAAGGTCTTTAATAAGGTCACTGAAATGTCATTAACAAAAAGTCACATATTTAAATCTAAGTGAAAAGCCAAAATGGTATTTCAATAAAACAAAACATATGACCACACACACAAAAAAAATCACATCTTACAGATACAATCACATGAGGTGAGAGTACCTATAGTTTTGGGTGAGTGTCAGAATGTGGAAGACATTTTAGTGATGATGCACCCAGCCTGGCTGACGCTGTTCAGAACAATACTCGTTAGCAGACCAGAGGGTGTTCAAGTCTATTTTGTTTACTATTTTAGAGTGGTTTTGTGAAACATTACTCAACAGCACTATCAGCTGACACTATGATATCACTGTATTCATTTCCATTCTTCAGCTACTTAAGTTATATTTCACAGTAAGTCCATCCTTATTAAAAAGAAAACAAAGGTATAACTTCTATATGACAACCCAGAAGGAAAACACGCACGATTCATACTCCATCATTCGACAGAGGAGAAGTTTCCTGGTTTTGTCAAAAGGAAGGTCTGGTTCTAAGCATTACTGGAAGCAGTAAGAAAAAATACTTTGGCAAATTTAATAGAAAATCAAAACGATGCTTGAATTTATTTTTAGTGACACCCATATACACTTTCACTTCACGATGCAGTCTAAGTTGTAAAGTGCTGAGCACCTTCTGGAAAAATCCATGTTGCCGCAAATTTAACAGCAGCAGAACACACGACTGTGTTCTTTATTTTGATTTTGCTGTGCCTTGTAAAGAGTGCCACCACTGCCAGCACTACAAAGCAATTACTGGGGATAGCTAGTTTCAACTCTATTTATATTCACATTTTATTACTGAAGAACATGGAAGGATGCCAAAGATCTCGGTTCAGAGATAACTTTCAAGTCAATGTAGGATAGCTTCTTTCTCAGAAAGCAACATACCACTCCAGCCTTTTCATGTCCTTGTTTTAGACAGGGTCTGGGAACGCAGTCGGTCAAGCACATGTTTCTATGTTTAGAAAAATGTAAATATCTTCCATTTAACAGTAAAGCATTGAATATAGTGCTATGACACCAAAACACCTGTTAATTACAGATTGTTCTGAAATATGTGCTATTATATTTCTCTCCTTTCTTCACACCCTATCCTTCACCAAAAATAAAATACCCTTGCTTTCTCATCTTTCACTCTTGTGCTGTATCAAACTCTGCAGAACTTCACGAAGCTGACCTAGTATTTCTCTGCTTATAAGCCTTTTAACATCTTTGAAACATATTCTAACGTAAAGTATTAAATAAAAATACGAGAAATTGCTGCAGAAATTTAAGAATCTAATTATTTTTTATCCTTTAAAAGCATGGGTTATCTCATATGGAAGCTTGGAGAGCATATCAACACTCATGCTGTTTATCCAATGTTCTTCTAGGGAGTACGCTTACTCAGAACTCTTAAAAGTACCTGTGGAATATACAATTCATATGTACCTTAGAACACTGTACTTACCTTTGGACATTTGGAATTTCTTGCAGTTTCAATCATGAGATTTGAGCCCATTTTTTCTCTACAAATAAGTGTAAAAATTTGAAAATGCTCCATCAGTTTAGCATGAACAAAAAACCACATATTTTTATCATCCTTACTTCTGAGAACATTGCATTTAAAAGAAGCAACGCTTGAATTTCACTTTAATAACTGGATTTCTACAGTTGGCTTCAATGGACCAATACTTCAGACTTTCTAGGCTGTTGGAAATAAGGCCGGAGAGTGAAATGAGGTCTTGATTCAGTTACTCACTTCATCACATACTTAACCATAAATCGCTGGGATTACTCAGCTACTTTGTGAGAGGAAAACAAAGTACTTTGCTACATTTAAGAATCAAAAAACCGAACATCTTCATTATGTGGTTTTATAGTAATGAAGATTACTCTCCTGAACTGTTAAGAAAATATAATCTAGGGAAAGAAAGAGACCATTCTACATGACGTAGAAGAAAGATAAACCATCTACATGTAATCTTTCATAACATAATTCAGTATGTGTTTAACATCCACTTTTCAGGTAGAACTTTTTCATACGTATACATTTTTATAAATCTTATAGTGAAATCACAAGAATGGTTGGCATTGTAATTAATCATTGCATCAGCATTAGGGCCAGTATTCTAACTGCTAACTTGAAGGTAGCCCTCCTGCACAGTACAGGAGACTGTAGGATATCAGCATACTAACCAATAATTTCATATTAACATCTATTTCAACTTTGATTTGCTTACAATAAAGGTATAAAACTCTACAGAGTGGGTACAAGAAATCCCTTAAACTACTATGCAACTTTAGACATTAAGGTGTAAATGTTTAGTATCATCTCCAAATTTATTTTAGTTTTGTTGCTAGCATTAATACTGTAATTGTGTATTATATGAACATTGTTGTCAAGCTTCACTGTTCAATTATTTTATTTACCAAAGTCATAACACAATTAACTCCACAGATTATTCACATACTGTGTTAGAAGAGAAAGTCTTCTAATTTTAATTTTATTGAATAGTCCCTTGTTCTTGAAGAAAAAACGAGAGCAGTAATCTCAAGATATCTTACTATCTCAAATTACTGCTGTAACTTGTTTGCTTTTTTTGTTAAGGATAAAGAGTCCTAATTCCTTTGTGTGAGCTGTCCTTAGGTCACTGGCTACATTTCACCATTCCTGCAACAGAAGTGTTCTCTAAAATGTGGTAACTGGGACTGTAAATACTATTTAAAATTAAACTGTATTAAAGATCAATATAACAGCATCATAATAGCTTCTCTATTTTCAATCCCAGCCATCACACACTGAATCATCTTGTTTGACTACAAGCACACAGATGTTTCATTAAATTGCCCACGACGACACCCAAATCACTTCTGATATTAGTTAATTTAAATCCTGTAAGTATTTTACATTTTTCCACTCATGGGTTATTACTTTACACATAATTTCATTTGCCATCCTATCTTTCCATTTTTCTGCTTTGCTTGTGTCTGTCTGCGATCTATGACCTCTAGACATGACCTATCTAAACAAGTCTCCCTTACAAATGTTGATCTTTCATCTCTTTGAGTCACTAATATTGCAACATTTATTTCAATAATGCTATGAAGAACATATTGCCAACCCTATGCTTAAAGAAACATTTTAATGGGCTACAGCCAGGGTGCAATCAAATAGCCTGGAGAAAGAGAATTCAATGTGAAAGGCAACACTAGCTTTTACGCCCTTCTAACAACAACAAAAGTACCAGGAAACTATGATATCTTTACAGAACCTAAAGGAGAGACTTTTACTGTATGTTCCACAAGGACAATGCTGCAAAATGTGTTCAAGATGTCTGGAGTGACTAACCAGTGCAGAATGTGTTGCCTGTCTAGTCACCAGAGTGCAGTCTCAATTCATACTTCAATTTGCGTAACAAATACTGGTGTGAAGCATTATTACTTGTAATCCCAAACACATGGCATTATCCATTTTCCTACCAACAGAGAATGTGTATCTTTCACCCTACTCTCTCTATACGGTGCTTGCTTGCTTCTCAAGATTACAAATTCCCAGTATGGAATTTTAATTAGCTTCCCAAAATCCCTAATGGCTCACCACATTTCTCAAGTACTTTCTCAAGATAATGTAAAAAAAAGAAAATTGTACATGTAGACAACAGCCAAAAGAAAACAGAAAACTTGGAACTATAAACCAGGTTCTTCTTACAAATGCAATTCAATATAGCATTACATAGACCGATGTATGGTAAGTATAATTTTTAGCACAAAGTAATAAAAGTAACTGATTAAAACCAGTCCTCAATTGCAATTCAAGGAAAACATAAGAACAGTTGAAATAAACATATATGTAAGACATAAAATCAATTCTCTACAGCAGTCAGAATAAAAAGTTAGTTAACCAAAATCAGTTGTCATTTTCTGAAGTGGAATTCATAATATGGTTCATGAATGCATGCACCATTAGTCTAATGAAGCATTAGCCTAATTATTTTCAGCAAGAGTACTTTCTGACAGAAAATATCACCATCAATATTGTGGTAGGGCTAAACGTATACTGCACGGCTGTATATTGCAAACAGATATAACTCTGTTTCAAGCAAGGCTGACAAGTCTGCTACCATTTGAACAACAAAAGCACAAGTAAGGCTTTTAAATTTAAAGCAAAATATAAAGCAGTTTTCCCATGCAGTGACTGAAAGTTACACCTGACCTTCTTAGTGCTGTAAAGAGATGCTATATAACCTTTAAATTCCCTTCTTAGTTCTAGGCTTCCACATCACAAGGAAACCCACAAGAATCCCTACTGTTTCAATGAAATGTTGTGTAGGCATAGCATCTCCCTTCGACATTGCAGAATTAGGTCAACAAAAAGTCATTTGGTTGATCAGTAAATTTAATTTTTAATTTAATCTACAGCTAATATAATAATTGCCTGGCTTCCGTCCATTGCACAGGAGTAGAGTGCCTACCTCCCTCATGTGTTACATGTAACTACACAGAATAACAGCATTTTAATTAAAGGCCTGTAAAACACTTTCATATGAGGTAATTCTGATTTTCACAAGACTTCTTTTAGTTGGGCAAGGGGAGGAAAAGAGGGAAAGCAGAGAAAAATCTCTTTTCTGAAAAAAGAGGAACTCTAGATATCTGAGAAGAATAACTTATGATACTCATTTGATAAACACATTTATTCCTAAAATGAAACAAAAGCACAAGCAGTGGTGCTTAGAAGCCTCTCTCTCCACTTCAGCAAAGAAGTGAGATGGTTAAAACTCAGGCAGCACAGATATTCCCACTATAATGTCTACAAAAAACTCTTTCAATCCCAAAAAGCACATTAAACATGTTCCTGCAGACCTTGTCGTTTCTTATCCAAAGAAGCTTTTTACCATTTTACATTCGCTCTCAGAAAAGGTTGTTTCAGTCTTTTCAGTAGTAGTGCCAGTTCACACTGTCTGAGAAGCTGACATTAGTGTGCTAAAAATTATAAACAACAGAACTATTAATACAAACACTGATGAATAATACTAAGTAATAAAACTTGTAATAGATATTAATATTCCGGTGACTTTTCCTGAAGAGCTGTTAATGAGTTTGTGTACATATCTAAGAAAAAAAATACCATTTCATTGGCAACTCTGGCACAGAGGATATTTTTTCATCACAATCCTTCCAGCTCATTTCCCTTTTCAAAGAAAGGGGCAATGGGCAAAACCCCTCCATAGAGCAGCTAAGATTAAAAATCCCCACTACAGCACATTATTTCATTTCTCACCATGTCTCCTATAAGAAAAAAGGCACAGCAGGTGGCTAGTAAAATTTGTAGCAGATCTATAATGAGTCAGATCAAGCAGAGCTGGCAAGCATACAGGAATATAATCAGAAATCAGTGCACTAAAGCTTACTTTCTTTCCCAGAAGCAGAAACCATTACATTAAAGACTTTCAATGTTTTGGTAAATACGAAAACAGCTATTTCAAAAGAATGAGAGTATAAGCTAATCCTTTCTAGTTGTTTGAAGAATTTGCTTACCAGTGAAACAATGACAAAACCGAAGGCTCTCAGACATTGTGCTAATTATTTTTACCTGACCATTTTTTACTTACTTGAGCATTTTTTCCCATATATCACTGTCATAAAAGGCGTGGCTCCATCCCATTTTGACAGTTCCAACAATGACATTCTGCTTAAAAACATCTGATCCTAACTTGCGATACAGTTCTTCACAATCATCCAGAGGGATGTGGAACAACCCCAACATAAAAGCTAATATAGCTCCTGAAAAAGAAGTATTTTGAAATGTAAAATATAGCCTGGAGTAAGATTATAAAGATGGATTATCAATTCATGTAGTTCACAGGTCAGCAGAACATCTATCATAAAAAAGGACGATCAATTGACGTTTGTATCATTAAATTCCTGTCAGAAGACCACAAACCATGTTTTAAAAGGACATATACAAGACAGGAAGAGTCTACTTTCAAAACAGAACTACAAAAGGTTGACAAATGGCATTATTTCATTTCACAGATTTCACTCCTACAAACATGTATACGGCAGAAAGCAAATTCAATCTACTGCTTTATTTGGAAAGAGAAATAAGAGAAATCTATGCCGTGGTATTAAAAATATATTTGGAGCATTACTTGCTATCTGGCAAACCCTAAGTCAGTAAAGAAAAAATCTAGCATAATTCTGTAAAAAAGAAGGGAGTTTTGACTTGTTTGGAATATATTTGGTCATAACCATTTAAAATTAGTCATTCATAAATACTGCCATCTAGTGTGGGCCTAAAAAATTATGACCTACCCTTGTAGGAACAAAGCAACAGCATCCTAAAAGCATGGTTGCATAATATCATTAAAAAGACAGGAAAAATACAATTAATGCACCACCACGATTCTTAGATATATTAAACTGAAAGGGACATACGCAACCTTTAAATCTAACTGTGCAGTACTATGAGGACATGTAATTAAGCACTAGGAATAATTAGGACAACATGATTTTTTCCATTTGGAAATGAATGCAATAGGTTTGAATAAAATTAATTTTAAAAGGAGAAAATTCTTGAAATAGAGTAAGAATAAAACACATATGCAGAAAGAATTATATAAAGTTACAGATGGCTTTAAAGGAAGCGTGGCTTTCAAGCTTCTTTTGCTTTCACAATTCCCACTACCACAGTAGCTGAGTGTCAGTGGATTGATGGTCTCAGTTTTTTGAAACGTAGCACGCATGCATAATATAACCTGGGCGTACTTGACCCAGCACAGTTTCATCAAGAGAAACTTACTCAACTGCCAAATCACTAAACGCCTGCATTCAACGCAGACTAAACGGCTAGTAGCAGAGAAAAACCGTTTTCCTTAATCACGCAAATCCTCTGCTACCTCTTTTCCTCTTAACCCTCCAGCACCAATTCTATAATATCATGCATTTGCTATTTTGGTGAACAGTTTCAAAGCCAAAGAGCCAAAATTCACACCAAATGCACACTCATTTTCACTTCACCTCCTGAGAAACACCACCAAAACCCGCAGTTTGCATCAGCGCACAAATGGCAGTAGACACTATCAGAGTCAGGACTTTGCTGAAACCTGCTGAGTGGTAAGAAGACACTCACAGGAGAGTAAGGTCACAATCAAAGATACAGCGCAGGCTCTAGCACATGGTCCAGTGAAAAAAGCTTCTGATGCTTCCACCACATCCTGTTCTGTATCACAGACTCCCACACGCCAGCCACCATCTCAGGCCAACACTTCTGGAGGAAAAAACACCTAAATAAAACCCAGGAGGCCAAGGAGTATATGTCAAAGAACACAGGGATAGAGCTGGCTAATGAGACATGAGATAAGCAAGCATATAATCTGAAAGGTAAAAGTATTCCCTCCTTATTCAGTACTAGTAAGACTTCAGCAGAAGTGCTATATCTGGAACTGAATGATGTTCTTCAAAACACATGCGGACCAACTGAAAAAAAGAAAAACCACACAAAAAAAAACAAACCAAAAACCCATCACGGCTCAAGGAAATCTGTCTATAAGGAAAGCCTGAATAAACAGGCTATGCCAAAAGCCTTTAAATGCACAGAATGCTGCTGCAAACAGAAAGGAAAGAATCTGTTATCCATGTTCCTGGGGAATCAGGACAAGAGGAAACAAATTTGAACTGCAACACAAGGATCAACATTAGACATTTGGAATTTTTTTTCCAAACGTCAAGACAGCAGATCACTAACACATCTTTTCAGAAGAGATATAATGTGATTCAAAATCTTAGACAATCATCAGCAGTGAAACACACACACCTGATCCTTCCCTTGGGAAATAAGGTAACTTCCTGAGGACACTTCCAACTCTGTAATACCATAACTTGACTTATTTGTGAGTTCTCCTGAAAAAGAATGCTTCCTCCATCAGAAAGGTGTTTAAAATGCATTTCATAATTGGAAAGAAATTATGGGCAGAAAAACTCAAAGCAAAACCATCAACACAGAAACACCCCAACTCTCTTTAAGGAGGCTCCTAATCTGCAAATCACTGAAGGCTGGGAGAATACATGGGGGCACTAGCCCTATGCTGTTAGCAACCTGGAAGGTATATTTTGGGGGAATATCCTTATGTGAAGTCCTTACACAAACTTCACATACATTCAAAACTGATGATTAAAGAGACCAGTAGAATGCAGATGTCTTTGTTACAAAATGCACTGGAAACAATATGCTTAGAGAACCTTTCATCACAGTGTATCAATGACGGAATCCCTCATACAATACATCTGAATGTCACTAAATATGATCAATATAGAAATTTAGGAAAAAAAAAGCATATTTTTAAAATTCTTGGTGGAGGCCAGCACATTTGAAAATGTGGTAGCATTTACTTCACCTGATCATATACTCTTGATGTTACAAACTGCTCCCTCTGACTGAATCGCAAGTGCACCACTACTGAGAAGTATCTTTGATATATTTGGAGACCGCACAAGCAACGAGAAGAACACACAAGGCACACCCACAGCATACCTGCAGATAAATTGTCGTCAATGGGATAAGCGCTCTGTGTATCTCTAAAAGCATGTCATGCTCTGGAGAACGGTGAAAATCACCCTCACTTACAGAACTCCCAGCAGCTCAGTTCACGGGGCAACAGCACTTCCTCCTCTCAGCCACTCTGCTTTCATCCTTGGATTTTTCCACAGAACAGGCACAAACTCAGTACAGAATTTACATTAACTCGGTTCCTCATAAGACAGTTTCAGTATCCATCGCTGCATTGCATGTGCTTGCAGATTTTCTGGTGCTCCCATGCCCAGATACCGTACTCAGCAATAGGCAGGTGACCTAAGTATGCAGGGCCAATTCCAGCATCATTACAGTGATCTTTCCGTGTGACTGCCTGCATTTACACCCTGCGACCACCAGTGAAGTACAGGGAAGATAACTACAAAGACAGATTCTGTGAAGCTGAATTCACAGCAAATGGGTTATTTCCAAATCTCAAAGGCAAAACAGCTAAATGATAGTAAGAGATAAAAAGCACAGTAGGAAAAAAAAAACCACAACAGTATGCAGGAAATGCAATGCACAAGAGGCATCCTACCTTTCATTTAATACACCACTCTTATAAACCACAACTCATCCAGCTGCAAGGTTCTGCAAATCCTATCGGCATATGCACCACCAACACACACTGAAATGGAAGTTCACTGCTAGCACATGCTGACATATATAAAACCCCTCTCAGCCATGTCTCGTCACCTATTACTGCAAGCTGGACTACCACAGACAAAAGCCTGACAGTGTAAACAAAGCTTAAGAGCACTCACTAGCACTACAAAACTCAAAACCTGGTGAAGAATTTAGAATAAAGTTAGTTCTAATCAGAGTAGCGGAATGGAATTCTGAACACCAGGCCTCTCTACCAAAGATAAAAGGTTTCTATTATGATCGAAGGAGACGTTAGAGAATCATAGAATCATAGAATCATAGAATGGTTAGGGCTGGAAGGGACCTTCAAAGGTCATCTAGTCCAACCCCCCTGCAAGGAACAGGGATATCTCCAACTAGATCAGGTTGCTCAGGGCCTCATCCAACCGGGCCTTGAACGTCTCCAGGGATGGAGCATCCACCACCTCTCTGGGCAACCTGTTCCAGTGTTCTACAACTCTCATGGTAAAAAATTTTTTCCTAATATCCAACCTGAATCTACCTCCCTCTATTTT